AATCACAATAACTTTGGAACAAAAAGGGCTATAGCAGTGCATCATACATCAAACGAAAGCTTATGATCTGTAGAATAGATTGGGGACAAAAATAAATATTACCGTTTTACAAGCTCTGAATTAAATGAAATAACGTCCCGAAAAATAGCTTCTGCAGTTTGTCAAGGCTTCTCGTTTCTCTGTTCACATCAACTACCATTAGTCACTTGGGTCAAATTATCCTTTCTCGTCTCGATTTCTAGATTTTTTTAATCTGAGGTTTGTGTTAATGCTCATTTTTGTGGATCGCTTTGCTGAATAAATGTAAGTGCATTGTGTGTGCTTGCTAAGTCATCGAATAATCGTTTTTAGTTCTCCTCTTTTCCAGGCCTTCTTAATCATGCTAATCTGCGTGATCTAGTATACAAAATACCTTCTGACTAGATGCGAACCACTACACTAATACCACGTGGTTGAAGCAATTCTGGAGCATTGATGAGTTGAAAATCAACCAATCAATCAATAACCGACAATTACTAAATAAATATACCAATTATGAAGATAAAATGAGTTAAGACATGTCATTACAATATAAAGAAAACAGTAAATCTAGTCAATAAACAGATATAGTGATATTGATTTTCGGATGAATAACTACATGTTGCACACCCTTAAATCTTGTAAAAATTTATAGCTCTCAACAGTTAATCAAAGTATGATCATATTCAATTGTAAGAGCCATTCAAATAGTTTGATATATAAGTGTTCTCTACACACATCTTTTTAAAACATAAACACATGAAATGGTACATCTTATGATATAACACAACAAAATCCAGTCAATCATTGAATTTATCAAACTGTTAATAATCAATAGAGGAAACAAAAGTGACAATCACTATTTCCACTGTTCAGTATTCGATTTTAACATGTTAATTTTCAAAAGAAAAACAAAACGTCTTTCAAATAAACAAGAAGATTATTCAAGGGTAACGAAACGTAGTAAGAATGTCTAGCCTCAAAAAAACTATGATATATATGTATGCCATAGTTCATATTAACAAGAAACATACAAGGATTAAGGGAAATTTGATATATAAATTTGTAGTAAACCATTCGTGAAAAGTTAAAACAAAAAAATAAAGGATCAGGTTTAATTAAAAGTGTACATTAATAGTGACCGGATAAATGGTGGATGAAAAGAATGCTTTCCACTTTTAAAGAGAAGAAATTTTTTATTGAGAATAACATCTCAAACTATTGATTACTAATTCACGGAATACGAAATACATTCGAAACGACTATCAAAACGATAATATTCTGTCGATTAGATATTAAGTATAATTATTCCACTCTTATCATCACATTTTATTAAAAGATAAAACTTTTTGTGATACTTTCAGTCACCAACTACTGTTCGTAGAAAACTCAAAGGAGATCAGTCCACCGATCATAGTCAATATAGAGCTTAGCACACATTTGAGCCATACCATAATAGTATGATGCGATGAAACTAACAAGATGAATAGCAAAGGAATCAAAAAACCAATGATAATGAGAAAGACTAAACATTGAGAAGATTTTTCAAGAAAATGGGACGAAAAGGCATGTAATTGATCTCAAAATCCAGGGGAAGATAAAGACTGAGTGCATCTACATCATTGTAACTGATTTTAAGACATGTCATTAGACATCTCCAACGACTACTGCTAGCGGTTATCACGTGAACTCAGAACAAGTAGTCTGTATCTACTAAAATAGCTCAGATTAAATTTAATGACCTCGTGGATTAATGCTGCGTTTTGATTTGGCTGCACCTGGCTTTCTTCCAACTTCCACTTAAGGTAATCTAACTCCGCCTGGAGTCCCCCTAGGGCTACTGCCGGTTTTAAGCCCGGATAAAGGAGGATTAGGTATAAGATCAGCGACCTCATCCTGTAAGAACTAACTCGCTGATAAACGCTAACCAGAAACAATATTTCAAACCATTTAAACTCTGACCTGGGAGTTAGATCTTCATATACAAGAGTTTTCACGTCTCATAATGAAAGCTGGGTTCCTTCGGAAGTCACGAGTCTGATGTCCCTTCTGACAACCAGAGCAACCGTTAATTTAGGTACATGGAATTTTCGTACAATGTGGAAAACCATGAGTTATCCAAGTTGCTTCACTTAAGGTCGTCTGTTAAGATGGGCGATTGGACACAGATAAACCTCTCAAATGAAACGCATCATCAGCATCACACATTCGAAATACTCCAAATGCCCTGGTAAGGCCGAGAGTAGTGAGGATCCCGCTCTCCCTATCGAAATGCTCTCACATGGCCACAGGTATAAAGCCACTGCCAAGGAATTCCCACTCACTGAATTCTCGCGACGAGGGTGTTGCTTACGAAATTGAAAGGACGAAAAGCGAATGTCCGGTGCTTTAACCGGGTCGGTAGACACGGAGAGTCCACCTAGGGGATTTGGAAAACCCTGATTCCAAACCAATGGTTCAAATCGGCTCCAGGATCCCAAGGGAACAAATGGCGCATGAACCAATTATTGGTCACCGGCTACCATGGGACTATATCTCCAGACGTTGCTTCATTGCCTTATGGATCAGACCTTTAGGTCGAAGGCTTTGGGAGTGGCCACCTAAGAAAACCACTTGATTCGGTCTGGGCACCCGGCAGTATCACAGCTCACATACAAATCAAGTGACTTATGTGGCACATATCTGTTTGGTGCCCTCTTGTACCAATATTTATGTGTTCAAATAGATGAATAAATCAGTGATAGTAAGAAAGTGCTGCACTTTTGATTGACACGTTTTATCCCCCTCCTTTCAATGCTTCGAACAACAACCGATGGATAAACATTTCAAACAGTAACCGATTTATTATTTTTCAAAATTCCTTATGAGATCTGAAAACCATAAATTTAATCCTGTACGAAGACACATGTTAATGAAAACTATCGAAGAATACCAAATCACGAAGAAAATATTACAGAACTGTGAAGCTTTCATAAGAAGAATTGTGGTATTGGGATTTCCTGTTGGTCTACAGTAAATTCCATTTGCAAACGATTGAGGTGACACAGACGAATGTCTGTTGCATGACAACACCTCAATGTTAGTAATCCACACTCTAATAGGGAATATAAGACTTTCTGGATAATTCTATACTGAATACAGAAGTTTAAAATTGAAAAGGAGTAAATGTGCTTTGTAGTGGTAGTAGTAGTAGTAGTAACATATGGTGATGTAGCGGTACATTACAAGGTTAAAAAACTGAAAGCGATAACATTCGACCAGGTAACAGCAAATGTTATCGCGGAAATGTGAAGTAAGAAAAACTCGTCGAAGTTATCCTTTAAAGAAAGAACTAACATGTAATAATCAAACAAACTAGATAACTTGATCTCTTCTTAATAATAACACTCTCTATGCTTCAACGATTATTGAGCAATCAAACCTTAACAAAAAAATCAACTTTAAAATACATACAAATCTTCATACTGAAATGCAGTTTGATTTAATCAAAACAGCCAAAAATACAATTACTTTCATTCGCAACAGGAAAAAACAATTTGTGAAAACGATACCTTTAAATTATTACTACTATTAATACATTTCCAATTTACTTCAGACATATTTTGTGTCCTATTTACCAATCAGTCAAAATTACAGAAAATAACAGTTTCAACAATTAATCAATGGTATCATCAACAATAGTATTTTACCTGCCATGTAAATGCTCAATGATAACTGAACAGTTATAAAAGCATCAACATTTAAAAAGCAAAGTGGCATGTTACAATTTACATCCAGAAGTTGTCTTGGTTAGATAACCATTGAAAACCAGAAAGCATTGGGTAACTGTTTTTTCTTAGTAAAGGAAGGTGTGATAAACGGACTGTAAGAAATATCGAATGTGAACTGACTACCTACCCATAACGTAGGAATTTTGACCAGAAAATCTCGTAGTCAATAACACATTGATTCATTTTCGTATTGCTTTGAACATAAACCTTCGTATGTATGTATGTATTGGCTAGGTATGAAAACTATATTGCTTGTGTGAAGAGCTGCAAAATATTTTATCAACAAAAATACTAAAAAACCGAAACCCTCAAAATATTTTAAAAGATAACTGAGGTATCCGGTATATTTCCTATACATAGTAAGCAACTCACTATCTATCATAAAGCTCAGATTGTCTGCCAATCACTCTAAAATATCAACACATATTACAGGAGTAAAGAAAAATAGAACTCTGGTCATTGACTCATTAAAAATGTCGACGCCATTTTAAGAAGTAGAAGGAAAATAAAGAGATATGACAGCTGGAAATCGAATGACATATAAAAGTAAGAAAACACGTTCGGAATTTGTAGTAGTACAAACGCTTGAATCTTTTTGGATTAATAAAAACATTTTTGGTTATATACATATATATCATGTCAGGTGGTTGGGAGTAGTAAACAAGAAATCCTAAGCATTGATTTTGTGCTAGTTTGTACTCGTCACTGTTTACAAAGCTCAGTGATAATATTTCAGACTGTGAAATTAGTTCTTAAAATCGTATCTTACAAAGTGCATCAGTGAATCCGAATACGCCCTGCTGAAGAATATCGACTAACAAGAAGTCAAGATTGAGGATTTCCTGTCAACTTCTTGTAACAACCTAAAACTCAAACAGACTGCACGGAGTATCGTGGATTGATTGAAGTCTGACTTCTACACCGCTGGATCCCAGTTCAGTGATCTAGAGGTTAGGCGTTTGTGAGTGAGATCAAATGTCCTGGTCTAGACTCCTGATTGTAGGGTCGTGAACGAACACTACTGAAGAACCCTATACTGGGAATAAACAGTCGTCCAGTGCCCTCAATTTCACAATGACTGTCTAACTTATATTAGTTTGCGATTTTTTAATGAAATATCGAGTTACTTAGACTAGTGGGTATACTGCAATTTAAACAGTAAAATTCGTTCGAAACCAAGGACTAGACAAATATATACAAATTTCCACTCACTTTATTGACAGCAAATAAACAATCCAACAATGTTAAGTGATAAGTAGATGCACCAAAAGAGGCATCTCTGAAAAAGATTCGGAAATATTTGGAAATTATACGATCAATTAACAGATAGAGACATTGTAAAACAAAAAGGCAATAAAATTAATAGTTATTGTCAAGATTGTCACAAATTTAATTTAGCATTCTTCATCTCTAGTCAAAACATACAGAAAATCAACTTAAGAACGAAAGTGATGGAAAATCACTTTTCATCTCATCATTTAATTTCATAGAATAGTAGTAGTTAACAAACTTCATCATTTTTGTACACCAATGAATTTAATTGAATTGTTAATTTATTCAAATCAATTGTTTTTATGAATAGTGCATAACATAAATCAGATTATCAAAAACTGCAGTAATATAATCCACTTCAATATTTCTGACAAGTAAATGAAAATACAAACAAATAAAAGCATTAGTATGTAATTATTCATAGTTACGAATAACTTTTAATCTAACTACTTGTCATCAATAGATCTTTCAATATAACATGTACAAATATTACTAATTAATCGGTTTTGTAGACTTGAACTCTGACCTTATAGTTGCAGATTATGTGTATTGTTAACTGGTGAATAAAAATTACTCATTGACTGGAACACCTTCAATTAAAAGCTTTGACATTTTTCATTGGAATTCGTATCCCCAAATTTGAATATGTTCATTTATAATATGTAACAATGAACTGATGTTCGTAAAATTGAAAACAGTAGTTAATTTATTGAGCATAATCTTTCGACTAATTGTAGCAGATTAATTCAAAGTTCATATAAACCTTCTTCTCTTATTGTGTCCAAGAGACTGTATAATATTTAATAAAGAGAATTTTACAGGTTTGTAAATTATCCTGAATCGAAATAATTTCGATGATCTAACTCTAACAGATGAGAAATTTCTTATATGAAATAAAAGTTTTTTTTTTCTAGTTTTATAAGACAATTTGAGATTTGACAATAAGTTACATAGGTAGTTTCTAACATTTCATAAATGTTCATTATTTTCGAAATTTAGAAATTAGTTCTCATTTCCTTAGAAAATTTATATACTATATCTCTAACTTTCTCAAATAACGATTTTACACAAAAGCATTCATGAGTAGTCAAGCTGTTTGCCAGTGTGGCTTAGGATTCAATGTGGTTTAACTTTATAACACACATGTTTTTTTGTAAATGGTTTCCGTTAGAAATTTGTTTTGAAACTATTACCCGAAACAACTGAACCAAACTTTATCTTTCATCTGTTCAAAAGATATCTTTCTCAAGTTGTATATTAAATTTCTTGTAGACACGTTCATATGGTTTTAGTGATTATATTGTATAAGCCAAATTTGTCTCAGTATACTTCTGATAATCCATTCACTAAATATGTTAAATGGTTATTCGATGATTGGACTATTTTGATCTGGCTAGCGAAAAAATAAATCTACATCAAACTAAATAACCCTATGATAAACAGAAGACTCGTAAAATTTCTAATCAAATTTAAATCATAAAACAGATACTATATATTTTAATTAAATGAACTATTTTAACTCAAAAATAATATATTTCTCTAAACTTGTGATTATTGAGGAATCTAGTTTTTTTTTTAAAAAAAAAAAAGAAGACGCGCCTCTCTGATATTTTCTTGTTCTGTATAAAGCGAATGATTTCAGCAGTATTAAAAAAAACTAACCTCAAAAAACCATTTGAAGTAACTAATAGTAATCGATTTACCGAGTCTTATTATTTTCCTCATAAACATCAAACCAATTTATACACATATGTAATCAATCAATAAGATTTCATTAGACTACTTATTTTCTAAACTAGTTTACAATCAAATCTTATATTATCCAAATAATTCGAGACCTTTGTAGTGTTCTTTTCAGTATCATGTAACACACATGCACGTATTACTTTTCCTCCTATTATTTTTTCAGAATCAATATTATGATGAACTTGAGTATATAAAAAGCTTGATAATTAATATAAGGTAAATATTGATGAATTATTGATCCACAAAGTTTTTAAATTTGAAAACAGAAGCTGGAAATATGGTAACTTCAATTGACGCGGTATGATTGATCACTAAACAAAATTCCTTTCATTAAATTTAATTCATTTATTGCTTGCTAATCTATCAAATAATCCATTTAAATTGAACTGATATCTAAACTTATGTAGTTCAACTAGTATCATTAACAATAGAATAGTATTAGCTAGAATTCTAAAGTTAAAAATATACAATTTTCCAGCAAATAAAGAAAAACAAAAGTGAATTGTTGTAAAATATGACAAATTAGATTGATTATTGTTGCTATTTAGGAGAAAGTACAAATTTAGACTATTCAACTACAAGATATTTAAGTTGAAATGAATTAACAGAAAACATGTAAATAGATAAATGGCTGAAACAGCACAGCAAATCTATAAATGGTACGTGTTCAAATAAAGATCAATTAACAAACTATCTTCTTGCTGGGGAATCTGATACCAATAAAACTGATATTGTCAAAAATAATTAAGAGTAATGACAATTACAGGTTTTCACCACACATATAATCAATGATCTTTAGAAAATGCATATTTATCACGTAAAATCCGTGATATGAGTTTGTAAAATTAAGAACATGTGATGTTGTGAAATTACATGAGAATATGAATACAAACATGAAATCATGCTTATATTATGGAGAGAAATTTCATCGACTATTATGATAGAGGTGATCACAATCAGTTGCTAATGGAGGTAAGGATATCAATTTGACTGCTGTACTAAGTTACATTATTCAACAGTTATAAGTAATCATTATTACAATTTATTGTTTATAGCATAAAAACAATTTTTTCAGCGGGTCATCAAAAAATGTCCCAAGTAAAAAGAAATGACTATCATGAAAGTAAATCCAATTGGGAGATTATGTACTAGTAAAAGTAATAAGAAAAAGCATATTACAGGTTATAATTTAAAATAAGAAGATAATGTTGACAGAGAGTGATGATGGTTAGAATCTTATAAAAATTATTAACTATCTCAAGATTGCAGATTTATCTTCTTGACAACTATCGAATAACAAGAAATCTATGTCTAGAACATACTTTCTACTACCTGGCAACATTCAACATAGCTAAAGCATATTTCATTTGTTTCAAAAAACGATATTGTTAAAAAATGAAAGGACCCGCTGGTCACCTGTGTGCTTTTATCATTCAGTTCCAATAAAAGCCTAATTATATTTGAGACGAAAGTTGCTGAAAGTAAACCGCTTTAAGACTTTTAAAATCAATGTCTCTGAAATACCGAGATGAAAAGTCAAAATTAAACTGATTTATTTTGATTGAGATCATGAACCGATTGATGTTAGACCACCTTTGGAAACCTGGAAGCACTGGACGAAACGGCCGTCCAGTGCTTCCAGGTTTCCAAAGGTGGTCTAACATCAATCGGTTCATGATCTCAATCAAAAACTTAATAATCTCCACAACCCCTATACTTGTAAATTGATTCACTCATTATGATTTTTGTTAAACATTACTTCCGCTTTAATTCAATGTGATGAGTACTCAGTATAGTATTTGTTTCATTTCCCCCTATGACATTTTATTCTCTATCACATACGATGTTCTTGTATTAAGTTAACATAAACTATATTCAGCATATGATTTGTTATAACTAAGTATTTTTCATATATGTTATTTCAACTTAATTATTAATCAAAAACGGGTGTATGAATCAATATATAAATGAGTGTTATTCGACTAGACTTGTCGTGGTTGTTCGTGCTTCTGGCTGCTTGTGGAATATATTTCCCTCTTCGAACTTAGACTTCTCTCTCAACTTAGCTGGGTTGGAACGTGTCGGATTAGCTAGCTTATCTGTCATTGTGTCACAGAGTCTTCGTTCTGTTCTCAGATTAGGTGAACTCGTAATCTCTTCAAACATAGCATTTTCGGAAGTCTCATCAGTATTCGTTAATAAACCATTGCAATAACTTCATCATATAAGTGAATCGGGCATTCAATTTCACTATAAACTCTCAGTACAGACCAGTCACCTTTAAGGCATTTGTTAAAAGATAGTTAACAAAAAGCTCCATTTAACCGAAAATTGTACCAGGTCATAATATTCATTTCATGAAAAGGAACGGCTAAAGGGTGCAAAAACTATGCAACAAAATCCAAGCTATATACATGATGTTCGGGTTTATTTGATTTATTACTATAATTTGAAAGACACACGATTTGTGAGAAAGGAGTATATGAATTGCAAAATCATAGACTTGCATATTACTCTGGTGAAATAAAACATCTGCTGATTCAAACGATGCGTAGTATAGACAGACAATCGACTTTCAGTGAATGGGTTTCAAGTTATAAAATATAAAGTTCTTACTGCGATGTTCATCACAATAATCCTCGTTAGTTACATATTTTTTTTTAATAAAAAAGATTGGTTTAGCGAAGAATTCTCTGTTCGGCGAATTTATTTTCAAAACTGTACAATCGCAAATATATATACTTATTTTAAAAATATGGAACGCTTCACGATTTCGCGTGTCATCCTTGCGCAGGGGCCATGCTAATCTTCTCTGTATCGTTCCAATTTTAGTATATGTACAGCCGAGGCGAGTACTCGCTTGCGACTGAACAGCTTTGAAAATGAATTCGCCGAAAAGAGAACTCTTCGCTGAACCAATCATTCTTATTTAATGTCTTAATGGGTGCATTCCGTTTATATATTTTTTTAAAACCACAACAATAATCTCCAAAGGTAATTGAGTTATTTTGTTTTATTTATATATACATAAGTATTTTCACTGATATAAGCTACTGCGAATAGTATAACACTACAGTACTTTAAAATTCCAATAGTTTTAAGACGTTCTGCAGTTCAGCAAACTAATTTACTCCATTTTTAACAACCTACACTCAAAAAATTTATCTTATGTAGATCAGATGACCTTACAGTGATTTGTTTGGCAGATATGGCCGTTATTATATTATCTACCAGTTTAAGTCTAAACTTTGCACATAAAAA